CCCCCCCCCCCCAATCCCCCAATAACAACAACCCCAGCCAAATCCCAGCCTTCTTTATTTTCTTCTTATCTTTCTCTCTTCTCACCACCAGGTGTGCCATTTCCGCCGTCGCACAAGCTGACCGTAGCAGAAGTATTCGACGCTCGAACAGGCAGACCACGTCCCGACGTCCTGAAGCAGCACTTCATCCTGGAAGGAAGGATCGACGAGGCGGCAGCCCTGCGCATCGTTAACGATGGCGCAGCGCTTTTGCGTTCGGAAAAAACAATGATCGACATCGAGGCTCCAGTCACCGGTAAGTTCTTCCTCCCTTAAATCGGCGATCGCTCCCTTCACGGAGTAAACGTATACCAGCATTCGAGGAACTAGGTCCACTGCCAACTTTTTACCCGAATTGACACAATTTTTTCCAAAAATATCACTGCCTCAAAAATCGTTTAACCAACCTTACCCGAAGCACATCGATCAATCACAATCCTACAAAATCAGAGAGAAAATCCACTTGTTTCCTAGAAACAAAAATATCAGGCTAGTTAAAAAAAAAATTGTTCGTCCGACCGAACACGACTCTACGCTCAGTTTATGTCTTTGTGTCTGGTTTATGAGCCGGTAATAAAGTTCAACTTTATATATACACATGTATATATATATATATATATACACACAGTAAATAGCGATTGCGAGATAGAGCTTTAATAGTATTTTGAGATTTCGTCTTTGATGATTTAATACGCTTAACGACGTCCAACGCTCTTGTCTTTTGAATTCAGTTTAATGCCTTCGTATATAGATATACTACCATGCGAATATGTATATATCGGTATTTGATAACGAAAAGTTACTTTGAAGATTTCATAGATCCACGCCCGACATGCCAGGAATTTTGGTTTAGTGAATTTAGTTGTTGGCATCCTGCTAATGGATCAATAATTCCCGTTGGACAGCAGTCCTTTCCATACGTTACTTCATGGTAGGTGCATATATATATATATATATATATATATTATACACGAAGTATATAAGCGAGCAACGTGTCAACGTATACCACAGCAGTTATCTTCTCAGGAACGGCGACTTTTCTATTGATTTTTGGAGACGCGAAAAGACGCTCGTATCCCTTGGCGTCTTGGCGACTTTATCATCGTTATTATTATCATTATCAGGAATGTCCTCCTCGTCAGTGCAGTTATTATTCGACGCAGCGGGTCCTCCGAGCAGTGAGCATCAGGTGTATACGCCTTTCATTAAAAAAGATTAACGCCTGGCGTCCTCAACCCGAGCTACTCACAGGCCCTGACCTCGTAGTCCTCGCTATAGTCCCTCCGCGATAAATCCAACAATTTCATACATACCCATATATACCGCAAGCCCGCCAACAAAGCAATACGCAGCTCGGATAGTAAAAAAAGAATCTTCAACTCCACGTAAATCGACTTTGATGCGGAATTTCAGTGAACTCGTATCATCTGTCACGTGTGATAAGACACGTGGCAGGGGGAGGAGATTCGCGAAGCGTCGATGAAAGATGCACAAGTACAGCGGCAGGATCGGCGTAGAACGTAACCTAGAAAGAGTGATAAGTATCGGCAGGAGTTATCGGGAACGGCGTATAGCTCGTATGCACGTACGTGCGAGCATGGATGTCCCATAGGGTTGGATTTTCACATATGTAAATTTTTCATAAAGTTAAAGTTTCTGATGTCGGAGGTCAGGTTTGCCTTGAAAGTTGGACTTTTGCCGATTAATTTATTTATTGGGCTTCTTATGGGGGGATTGTGTAATTTAGTGCTTAACAGTGGCATATGCATATTAGTGGGCGGCAATACTGGCTGCTGGTCGGATTGGCTGACTGGTTGTCTCGTATCCAGTGGAATGTAGGTTGTACGGGATATCGAGTCAGCTGAGAAATTGCAGTGTATGTATATACTTGGGAGTACTTAGCAGTGTCTGGGTATATACTGGGTATACTCTACTTTGATACTATGGGTATTGCTGGTGCTAGTGGTAGGGTCTGCTTACGCTTCAGACAGAAGATGAGAATAGGAGACACTGCGCATAGCTGATGTATCCGCTGGGTCCCATAAGCACGCGAGCCTCCTATGTTGGGGGGCTGACTATCTGCGTCTTTGACTACTGGCTTGCTGCTAGCTCGCCGTTAGCTGCCTAAGAGAACGCTTGCTTGTTAACGGGATTCTTTAATTAATTAAGGTCGATTCACAAAGTCTGATTATACTTTTTGGAACTGATCGTTAGATCGCCAATCGGGGATTTTAGCTGAATGTAGAATCTTGTTGGTAGCAGTGACAGTTTGCCGTCTAAGCACTGTGCATACGTGCTTTGTGTACGGTAAGCAGATATGCATTTTTTTTATAGATATAGACAGGACTGGGTAGATACTTGAAAATGATGGAGAAGCAAAGAAAAGGGGTGGTGGGAGTATGGGGGGAGGAGGAGTGAGTAGGGCGAGGGAAAAGTGCAAGGTCAAAAATTATTTAGAAATTTTTCAACTCACGTTTCTACGTGCATTTGGCTTGTTGGAGTCGAGAAAGTAGATACAGGGTGTTTTGATAAGATTAGGTATTTTTTTTTTATTTTTTGGAAATTTTTAGTTACGGTTAATTTGCATATGAGGGCTTGTCACGGGTTTCGATCCATTTGCAGAAGGATAAGGGTTGGGATCGGTTGACGCTCATCTTAATTATTTAAGGGTTGACATTTTCATTGGTTCTTATGGTATACAGGGTTTTTAAACTTTCGCTAGAAATCGCTTGTCAACTACTAACGAGGCGTACACGTTCTTCACTAACTAACCGTACCCCATTCGGTACTCTTTTATTGAGTCATGGGATGCCCAGGGTGAGTCTTCTTGTTTGGGGAATGAAGTTCCCGCAGTCGATCCTCCGTCGAAACTACTGTTACGACTCAGCGATACTCCGATAGATATTGATGGTCGGGTGGGACTGGGGGACGTGATACGAATGTCTACTACCCCTGAGTACCTGTTTGGTGCCGTTGGGATACTTGCTGTTAGCCTTAACCTAACATAACAATACGAAGCGATCTCTATCGCATGGCGGCAATGGAGAGAGCGCCATCTGTGAAGCGGAGAAGGTACTACAGTCTGATGGAAGCCAGCAGAAGTTTCTTACGTTATTCGGTAACAAAATAACGACGCCGATTACGTGCGAGGGACGGGAGAGGAAAAAGGTTTTACGTAAATGTACAGTTACGAGGTTATTGTATCGCGAGGACGGTGAGGAAATATTGTCCTGGCCTAGCGAGATCGCTGCCATCTTTTGTTTCGATCTCGCCTTGCTCTATTCTATCCCACCCATCGTCCTTAACGAGCAATCAATTACCTGTTCATCCGCATATCACGCGACGGGGTGGTAGGAAGAATTCTTCGTGGGATAATAGCTCTTCGACGGAAACGGATATTGATAGTGATGTTTCCCTTTTTTTTAAATTAAAACTTCAACCCGAGCATTTTCTTCGAAGCGATTGGTAAATTCAGATTTTTTTCTCTGGCGCACAGCGACGTGTCTGTTTACACTGTTTATCTCCAGATGTGTATATATGCATATACACGCGTAGGAGTGACATAGATTCACAATATGAATGTGATATACCGGGAACAAGTGTCGTGCGTAGTAATAATGGTAGTAATAGCAGAAGTCCGTTGACAGCTCGACCGTCGCACGGGCTTCGTGAAAATAAATGAAAACAGGCCAGTGCGCATGCGCGCGCCACAGTGGCGGCCTCGCTCGGCGATAGTAGGAAGCAGATCAAGGGATTGCTAGCTGCTGCCAAGACAATGGAGAGGTGCTCAAACTGGGTCACGGGAGATCTCTTTAACTTGTTTCTTTTATTATTATTCGGGGCAGTGGTTAATAGTGTAAGCTAATGCGCGCCCCGCGTAGCTGTGAATTTTATTACGGGAAAATGATAGCACATTTTCAGCGAGACGAGTGTGGGTCGGGCAGACAATGGAAGGACGTAACGTGCGAATAGGTATCATCGGAAAAAGTCGTTATTGCGAAAGGTAAGAGATAAGCCTGAAAGAATTGTTGAAGTGTGCCACGAAGGCTTTGCAAGGGAGTGTCCGTCGTTCTTTTCGATATTAGAATGCGGCTACTTCACCTTTCGCTATCCGACCTAACCTCAACCTGTCTAATTTCATTCTTCGCATGCAATGCTCCTCTTGCTCGTACCATGAATCGCCTGCTGTTCGTAGGCAGATACAAATATCTGTTTCTGTACTGCCACGTATGTAAGGTTAACTCTATGGAATTTCTCTTCGTTTCATGGGGTTTCTATCGGTGGGCGGTCAGCGAGAGGTCGTAATAAAATTACTTTGTTACATCAGCGGCTTCCCGTCGTTCCCCATTGACTTGTTAAATTGCACTAGTAGCCGCTTTAATTATTATTCCCTCCGCACTCGCCGACTAAGGTTACGTTTCGAAATTCACTGCCAATACCGGGGAGTAGCGTCGTATCTTTTTTTACCTCGATGCAACAGTGTGAGACACGACTATGGTCGCGCTGCTGGGAATTTCGGAACGTTTTCTATCGCGGCGTTATTATGAACGTGGGAGAGCCTCGGCGTTTCCACGCATTGGTTATCTGCCCTGTTGACATAAGCAATCGATCGAGGTATTAGTAAAGAATTTTTATTGTTAAAATAATACAAGCAACAATTTACGTAAAGATTTATTATTGTTTCATTACATGGCGATTGTCAGGAATGCGTTGAGATTCAAGTTCAAGTGTTTCCCAGTCAATCTCGCCAGATGGCGCCTTCAGCCAATTCCCTCTGTCGTTCGTCGAATGCCGTAAATATCCTGTCGGATCCAAGTGGTTAGTTTTTCAGTGTCAAATTCAATGGCTGAATTTACCCTGGACCCTCTGTATCCGCCATTCTCAACCCACATGGGGAATGTACTCGAGACTGCTCACGAATTCACTGAAAAACCTTTTTCTGGTAACGACTCACGCACGATTGAGCATATAAACATACGTTGGTCTCGGTTTGAATTCCAAACGAGTCTTTCCTGCTACCCTTAACCTCCACTCCCGCATTTCTACAGTTCTACGCCAATTCACCCTCGCGCTTTTATACACTCGAGACGCTCCTCGGGCTTTATGGTTATTGGTATCTGTCGCCTCGATTCTTACGTAACACTCGGCAACTCCTTCTATTTTTTGCTCCCTGTTTACTTGGATTCGTTATTTATTCATATCTCTCTTGCTACGCGCGATCTTTTCCAGCTGACTAACCTTTAATATTTCTTTTTT